AACCATCCTGAGACACTGCTCTTGCCACTCGTGGGCTGTGTTTTATCCTGCTGGGTTCCCTGGAACCAGGCAATGTCCCATGTCACAGGAGATGGCTGTTGTAAGTACTGGCCTTTGAGACACAACTTCCTCACATTGTTGTTGAGCACCAGAGCTTTCTGTGCTTCCAGCCTAGCCTAAGGATGATTTCCTGGAGAGCACTATCTTCCAGCTGTGGAATCTTTTCATGAGGTCCAAGCAAAGTTCTGTGAAAGTGGTATTTTTAGGTCCTCTGGCCACTATGAAATGCATTCTTTTCATATTCCTTATATAACCTCCATCTGAAAGAGCCAACAGGCTTTGGAGCCTTTCCCACTGCTTTCATATCTCAGTGGGAGAGGAAAAAAAAAAAAATAATGGCAAACTAGTTTTATGGCCTGCATATCATCTCTGACAAAAGCAACTATTGCTGCTATTAAACTTGCAAGTGCACACAGAGGCACAGATAGTTGTGAACACCAAGAGGCAGCAGGGACGGCTCAGCAACGTGGCACTGCTGAGCCAGGCAGGTCTGTGTGCCAGGCTGGCCACTTCCCTCCAGGCTGGATGCAAATATCACCAGCCAGGTGGGGAACTGAGGCCACACACACTGCACAACCGCCCCCTTCCACGCAGAGAGGCTGGAGGGGGCACGGTGAGGTGTGTTTAAAATCCCTCTCCCCATTCCTAATGGAGGTGTGACCCTGACGATCATAAACACACCTAGCACCTGAGAACCTGCCAGCCAGGCCAATAAAGATGGCAATGCACTGCCAGCTTCCTTAGGTGGGAGCGAGCAGGACAGCTTGGCACAAACAAGGTTTGAGCAGGCATGACCTGCAGTTCAGTGTCCTGTGTCGAGAGAAGAGGCTGCTGGGATCAACAGAGTGCTCCCAGCTCTAGTCCAGAGGGGAAGAGCCCTGAGTCTGACCTGGATCTGGGAAGGAAAGTAGTTTGGGAACTGTATTTCCAAGGCTTACTCTGGCTTTGGACCTGGAGGGACGCCAGGCTTGCCTGCTCCTGAATGCCTCAGCAGCTTTCAGAGGCCTGAGGCCACCCCTGCCTTGGGAGATGAGTGGTGGATGGAGACATGGGTCACACAAACCCCGGGCTCTGCAGGTCCTGCTCCACTCCAGTGTCACATCTGTCACTCTGCCCAGCTGGAGCCTCGTCCCTTGTGACCCCATGGACACAGCAAGACCGGGGAGCTCTTGCAAACCAGATTTGGGTCTGGGGGAGCTGTTGTGATTCCCTACCTCCCCCTGGAAACTGCTGTAGGTGGGACAGACAGCTCAAGAGCTGCCTGAGGGACTTGCCTGGAGAGACACTCACCACAGGGAAGCATCACAAGTCAGACAGGAATTCCTCAGTGCAGCTGCCAACCCAGGTGTCAGCACTGGCTGGGACAGGACATGTTCCCCCTCACTGACCAGGGAAAGTCATTATAATAAAGTAACTCGATAATAAACTTCTCTGTTCCTCCCTGGGACTCTCCAAAACCTCACTGTGCCTTAAAAATACTTATTAATTAATCCTGCTGAAGGGTTTCTCCTGTCATTAACTGCTGACATGGAGCACATGGTTCATGCATTTCTAGAATCCACTCAGAGCTGACTTGCAGGGGCGAGCAACTGAGAAAAAAAAAACAAACTTGAGGCAGGGGAGAGCAAAGAGAAAGAAATCTTAATGCCAGACCCAGAATCCTTGACTCTGGACCAGAGCACTTCCAGCACAGATAAAGGGCAACCATTCTGATCCTCACTTCTGAGTGATTTTTAGCCCCTGGAAAATATCCAGCACCATTTACAAACTGGTTTCTTGCAGGAGTAAACCCAAGTGCTTCTGGAACTGCTGCTCCCCTGCAGCCCTGCCCATGCTGCCGGACTGGTTCACGAGAAGCAGCTCAGGCCTGAGACAGAAGCTCCCACGCTCAGGCAGACCTTGCCCAGCACTGCAGGACCGGTGTCTCTCTGCTGATGCTGAGCTGCCCAAAAGGTTTCTTTCATTTGTGGGGTCCAGACACTCCAACTGCACCCCAAGGACCAGAGCCCCTCCTGGCCCGAACTGCACATAGATTATCTTTATTACAGGACTGTTATGTTTGCACAGTTTAGTGATTTCATATCAGTTTAAAGCCTTCTCTGTGAGCAGTGCTGTTTGAAGTCATGCTCTCTTTTTTTCAGCTCATCTTGCCAAGACTGTAAAACCTTTATTGCTAATGGTGGAAAAGCTTAAAGAAGCCAAGGTAACTTTCCCAGGCTGGGCATTAAGACTGGGTTCAGGTAAGTAAATAAGTGAAGAGTATTACATGGACTTCATTAAATATCAACCAACACCAACAGCCACTCATTTATAACACAACGGCAGGGCGAGGGAGCACCCAGGAGCAGAGCTGGGAAAGGTATGAATCACATGTGATAGGAGAGATGAATATGAGAAGGGCTGGAATTGCCACGGAGCTCCAGGTGTGGCTCCCAAGGTCACAACACAGCTCCTGCAAAGACTGGGAGCTGATGAAGTGGCAGGGTTGATGTTGTTCATCTCCTCTGGGCTGGGGAGGGCTGTGGGCACGTGGTGTGCGTGTCCTTCTCCCTTCTGCCACAGCGGGTAAGGACAAAATTCTCCCTCCTCAGAGGGAGACTTAAAATTCAGGCTAGAGCCAGCACATCTCCTGGGACTGTCAGTTCTTGGATGGTTTGGTTTTTAGCTTTTACTTCCTTATAGACAACTCCTTACTGGTTTCTAGTTTCCTTTCAAACATCCCTGCTTACTCCTAACACCCTGTTACAGCAGCCATTAAAACCAGTCAGGACTGGAACTGTCACCTCCCTGCTACATTTTCCTCCCTTGGCTTGAGAGGTGCAAATTCCAAGTAGATTTTGCAACCTGTAGCATAGATCCCCATGTGCAGCTCTAGTATCTCCCGGCTGTTTGGTGTTTCGAAGTCTTTTCTCAAATCAGCAATTTGCCAGATCAGGTGATCCAGGAAACTCTGCCATCCCTTCAGCTGTGAGGCCACAGCCTCATCTCCCCAGCACACATTTCCCTCTCTCCAAACTGTTTGGAGCTGCCAGTTCCAGGCTCTTAACTCTCCCCTGGGACTCCATGGCTGCTTCTGCCACACTTGTGCTGCAGGAGCTGTTTGAATGGAAAAGGGATCAGTGCAAGTTCTCTTGTCCTCCTGAGGTCCCTTCCAACCTCATTTTCCCCTCAAACTGCTGGAGAGGGCGTGGAGCAACATCACAAACAGGTCTAATTCAAACAGAACCAAACTGGTCCCATTTTCAGGCACCAGCTTGCCAGGTTGCACCCGGGTCTGGGCTGGCCCACCAGCACAGGGTGGAATCACTGTACTCCCCTTTTCTGGAACGTCTCTGTGACACACTCAGTTTGTTCCATACTGCCATATCTCTTGCCAGGTGTGGAGCCACTGAGACATTTTCCACTTTGGAAGGGTGAGTCCTTGGAAGAGAAATAAATCGGAGCCGAAGCTCTGATGCTGCAGAAGGGCCTCGATTCCTACTGCGGGTTCCTGGGAATCCCGCTCTTGTCCAGCTATCTTTGACTCCCTCTCCTGGCTGAAAACACGGGTTACAGCCAAGATGAAAGAGTGGAAACCACCACGCTCCGTGGATCCTCCAGCCTGGGGACAGCCCGGATGCTGACCAGAGAGATGCTGAAGCGTTTGCAATCTCTGCATCCTTGATCAGTGGGGTTAAACATGTTGTTTCCCCTTCCCCAGCACTCCCTGTTGAACTCTTTGTAATGCAGCAAGCCTGGGAGTGACCACCTGTTTTATTTTTATTGCAAATTCCACGCAGAGAGGTCAGGCATCACCCCCTGAACTCCTGTGGGACACGGCTCCCTGCCCTCTAAGAAACCAAACCAAAGCCAAACACCCCAAAAATTCTCCCTTTATTAATATTTAGCCCATCTGTTGACATTTAAATGCAGAATACAGCCAGCACATCCCTTGGGCCCCGCTGCCACCCAGCTGTGCTTGCCTGGCTCCTGCTTTGAGGCTGCCCTAACTCTGGCCAGGGAATTCCACAGTTGCTCTGGCTGACAGGGAGCAGCTCCAGGGCCCGCAGATGGTGCTGTGGCCCTATTTTCACCTGCCTTTCTCCTCTGTTCCCGGGCTGGGAGGTCGCTGCTGTCTCACTGAAACCGGCTGGGCCACAGATGGGGACAGTGGGCTGGGAGAGACCCTGGGGACACGTCAGCTCATGACCTATATGTATCTATATATATAAATATAGATATATTAAAAAAAAATAAATATATAGAGAGCTACATATATACCCACATACATATATGTGTATGTATGTATGCATATGTATATATGTGTAATGTATAATACATGATATATATTAACATGTATATAACTGCTGTAGAGAATGCTGTATGTAGCATTATATATAATATAAAAAATAGTATATACTATGATATGTATGTATGGTACATGTGTTATATAATATTATATAAAATAGATACTATTATATATATTATGTATATACACTGGTATATATTATGTATATACACGCAATATGCACATAACTGTATGCATGCGTACAGATACGCGTATATAATGCACACGTCACATTAAAATATACGATTTTATATTTTTACACACTGTTTATTTGTTCACATTTTTTCACTAAATATGCACACAGCTGTGCCCTCGCCGCAGGGCACTGACAACCCGCTCTGCCGGGGGACAAGGGGGGACCAGAGAGGGCAGAGGTGGCCGGACGGGCAGATGGCAGGGATGGAGGAACAGGCGCCTTTTCGGGCCGAGGCCGAACCACGCGGGGAGGCGGCGGGAGCCGCTGCTCCCTGAGGGAACCAGGACTAGGAATCAGGAGCAGGATTAGGAGCAGGAGGAGGATTAGGAGCAGGATTAGGAGCAGGATTAGGAGCAGGCCCGGGAGCAGCCCCAGCCCTCCTCCCCTCCCCGCAGCCATCGCGCAGCCGCGGCCGCGCCGTCATTTCCCGGCGGCCGGAGCCGTTCCGGGGCGGCGGCGCTGCTGCTGCGGGAGCTGCGGGAGCTGCGGTACGGGGGAACGGGGAACGGGGGAGCCGGGGCCGTGCCGGGCAATCCTCGCTCCGCCCTCAGTGACCGAGGGTTGTGTCCTGCCCGTGCCGGGCTGTGGCGGGGCGGGCGCGTCCCTGGGAGCGGTCCCGGCCTGGCCCGAGTGTCGCCGTAGCAGGAGGGCCGCGGTGTGGGACAGGGTTCCTCTGGCAGGCGGTGTGGGACAGGGTTCCTCTGGCAGGCGGTGTGGGACAGGGTTCCTCTGGCAGGCGGGTCCGTGTGCCGGCCCGGGGTGCTGTGAGGGGCTGAGTGCGAACAGCTCAGCAAAATAAAGGCGTGCTTTTCCCCCTCCCAGCCCCAGGCCCAGCTACAGGAATTCATGCCAGGCATAAGTATTCTGATCTTAACATTGTTCTCTGTCCACCTGTGACTGGATCTAGAAATGCAGCCCCAATTTCAGACGCGCTGGCATCGCGCTGAAAACTGGATTAGGCCAACCTTAGTGCCCATGCAGTGCTGGCAGGAAAGTCTGCAGTTTCCTTAACCTGCTTGTGCAGTCTGTGCACTGCAGCCATTTCTTACGTTCCTGAGTGCAGCTCCTCCTGAATTGCTCAAAACACTCAGTGGGCACAGGTGGTTTTGTGTTTGCCAGAGGTTCAGGGCTGTCTGGGCTGAGGAGGGAGAGCTGCTCAGGAGAGGGTGTAATTTGACCAAATGTCAGAATCCTTCCTGACCGTGATGTGTTTGATTTGCTTTAGTTTCCAACTGGACGTAGGAAATAAACATTAAGGTGAATTAAATTATGTATTTCTGCAGTGAGCTGTGTAATTTTGTGTTTTTAATTTTTTTTTTGGTTGGTTAGGTTTCATCCAAGGTAGTTTTCTAGCTGCTAGGCAGGATAAAGAGATTAGAGAAACCTGCACTTTCTAATCCTGGTAAGATAATTAAAATGTCTGGACTGTGCATCTGGCTGTAGTGCTGGTTCTTTGAAAGGCAGCGTCCTTAGCTGGGAAACAGAGGGGATACAGAACATAAAAAATATGTAAATCATCGATGTGCTTGCTGGTCCGTGGGATCGTTTGTCACGTGCAGCTCTTGGCTTTTGACAGATTCCTGCTGCATTATGTCAGGAGACAGCGACTGCACCAGGACAAGTCCATCAGCAGGGTCTCCATCGGACAACGAGCTCTTGCCGGATCGCCCAAAGTATGTTTGTTCCCTGTCTCCTGATCTCGTTACCAAAGCCCGGGAGGAGCTCCAGGAGAAGCCTGAATGGAGGCTCCGTGACGTGCAGGCGCTCCGGGACATGGTGTGCAAAGACTACCCCTCCCTGGGGACGTGCCTGGACGATGCTTTCTTGCTGAGGTTCCTCAGAGCCAGGAAATTCGATTACGATCGAGCGCTCCAGCTCCTGGTGAACTACCACACCTGCAGGAGGACCTGGCCCGAGGTGTTCAGTAACCTGAAGCCATCTGCAATAAAGCCTGTCCTGGAGTCGGGCTTCGTCACTGTGCTGCCCCATCGGGACCCGGAGGGACGTCACGTCGTCTGCATCCGCCCAGGTACTCCATGAATGCCTGAATGTCTTTGTTCTCCGTCCTCGAGGTGTGTCTGGGCCAAATACCTGTTCCCTGCTCCCCTGAACGGTGGGGGCTTGTACAGAGTGTGTGGGTTCTCTCTGAAATTTGAGAAAAGCTGGCTTGTGAAGGGACACGCTGGTCGTTGGCCAGCGTTATTCCAGTTCCTTTTCCTGTGTCAGCAGTCGTGTCAAAATGAAAGTGCAGTGAGGTGGGTCAATGAAATATTAGACAATTCAAGGAAAATTAATGTGTAATAACTCTAATTGAAGTGGGGCTGCTGGCCTACACCTAGAGGCTTGTGATTTGCTTTGACAGTAAGCAGAGAGAGGAGCCTGTGGCTCTGACTCCCATGTACATAATCAGTCTTCCATGTGCTTTTGGTGCTGCCAGGCTTGCTGTAAATTTGTCTTCATTCATTCTCCTCTTTTCCATTTACCTGCTTTCTTTCTGAGCTGAAACTGCTAATGAGCTGTGCTGTGTGGAGAACGGGGTTCTGAAAGCCATTGCCTTTGCTCCCTGAAGTAAACATGAGTTGCCATTGCCCTCTTGCTTAAGAAAAGGTATATTTCTTAATATACAGTTCTGCTCTGAACTAGAACTGTGGCTGTTAGAGACTAGCCTTTAAGAGCCCAGGAGAACAGAAATTCAGTTTTTTGGAATGTGTTTTGTTAGCTTATCTTTCCTCTCCGACTTACCATCCATGTCTTGTAACCTCAGACAGATGGACACCCAGTAATTATCCGATTACTGAGAACATTCGTGCCATATACTTAACGTTAGAAAAACTCATTCAGTCCGAAGAGACCCAGGTGAATGGAATTGTAATCCTGGCAGACTACAAAGGAGTCAGCTTATCTAAGGCGTCTCATTTTGGTCCTTTTGTAGCCAAAAAAGTGATTGGAATTCTTCAGGTAAGACCTGAACTGGTGGGAAAATAAGCTTGTGCATTGTAAATGACTGCTTCTGTGTCTAGAGTTCTTGACTGTGTCGCCACAAACTTCATCATCTTGGCTTTTGCCAGCAGAGTTAAACATGTCTCTGCCTGACCAGTTTCTCACGCCCTTACTGCCAATTTACCTCACTTGCCCTTTTTTTTTTCTTTCTTTCTTTTTTGATTTTTGCATCCCTCAAAACTAAATTTGCATTAGAAATGCAAACTTTTGAGCTGGAACAGCAAAAAGCAGTTCTGCTAGGTGGTGGTAAGGAAGAGAGTAGAGAATTACAGAATTACAGAGAGGAGCCAGTGAGGAAATGGCTCGTTATTTAAAGGGTTGCTGTTGGCTGAGATGGAGCCAACCACTGGGCAAGTGAAGGTTCCAGTTCAAATGCTGCTGCAAAAAATTTGGCAGAGAGGACTTTTGACTGGGTGTCATTTGAGGAGGATTTCCACCCGTGCCCTGAAGGCAGAGAGGCTTCTCAGCAGAGACAGTAATAAAAAGCATCTCCTCCTTGATGTCTGGAAGGAAAGTGGTGGAGAGCAAGTGTAAACACAGTGGAGGTGAAAAGAGTGAGGAGTAACCTGGCCAAAGTGGCAGGAAGGGCTGATGATTTCCCTTGATGCTGATACAATCTGAAGGGGTGAGATGAGAAAACTTCTCTTGAATGGGTTCATGCCCTCGTTACTTTTGTTCTAGCCTGAGCTGATGATGTTCTCTGTTATATCTGTGGGGGAATAAGGAAGGATAGAGTGGATCAGGGGAGTTTGCAGAGATGAGACCAGTGAGTTTAGGAATGCCTCTATAAGAACTTGCTCCTTTAAATTATGATCTAAATGTGCCTTTTAACTATGAGCCCATATCTAATTTGTACAAATAAAATGATGGATGTTGGTAGTGGAAGCTGCTCACAGAGCAACAGCTGAACTTGGGGAAGGACATAAAGGTATGGGTGGTATTTAAATGTGTTGCACCAGCCTTGCTGAGCTGCTGCTCATGTAGAGATGAGCTAATTCACTGACCTTCCCAGGGAGAAAAATCCTCCAGCAGGGCATGTTAAGTGCTCTTCACTCCAAGCATTGACTGCTTGCTTTGTGTGTGTAGAACTGGTTACAAGGGAAAGGAGCTTCACTGTGGCACATGAGGCTTTAATTGCTGATCATGAGCTTTTCCCTTTTTGAAAAATATTTCTGCAAATAAATTTCTCCAGCAGAAATCCCGTAATTAACTGTTATTTAAAACTGTCTTGTACAGGAGACACTGTGTGTCCTGCTGGCAGCAGAGCCTGTTTGTCTTTTGCAGGTAGTGTGATAGAATAGCTGGAATGGCAGAAAAATTGCAGTGATGTTAGATTCCCTCTTTACATAAAAACACATTTAGGGTGTCTTGGGCACCAGATCTTGTAGCTGGGCACAGTGTTAGCAGCAGCCTGCTCTGGTGCTGAGCGTGGTGCACTCCTCAGGAGCTGGAGACCACTTGGGGACTGCATCCTTATCAGGGCTGGGAATAGCCAAAGGACAGGGATTTTCTAAGTGTTTTTGTCAAGGGAGATGGAGATCAACACAAGAAGTGAAGATTTACTGACAACCATGTATTTATTGATGCAGGGTTTTCTTGTCTCTTGACTTTCTTTTTATGCTCATAGATCTCACCCTGAGACTGTTCCCTGTAACAAGTTGCATTTCTGTTGCTGTGTTGGTTCATGTTGGTACCTCAGATTAAAGTCTGGGAGCCAGTGGGATGTGCTGGCAGTCAATCTCAGGAGATTTTGAAAGGAGGAAGGTGGCAAATGTTTTTTAAACTGCATTACAAAAATCTTCTTTACCCTTCAGGATGGATTCCCCATTCGAATAAAGGCTGTTAACATAATAAACGAGCCTCGTATATTCAAAGGCATTTTTGCAATCATCAAGCCTTTTCTGAAGGAAAAGATAGCAAACCGGGTAAGGATTTGTGTTAATAATAAAGTGTTAATATTAATGTTTGTAAGTCCCTTGCTTGGTCATTCTAAAAAAAAAAAAAAAAAGTTGTAAAATTTGACAGCTGGAAAACATTGGTGCCATTTTACTTGATCTAACGTGTCCCTTCTGCTTTAATTTTTAAAATTATGCTGTTGGGAAAATTCTCTGTGAGAGAGAGAGAGACTTTGAGGAACTTAACGTTGGCATAATATTAATATGGAACTTTAGTAGTGCATATGCTCTGTATTCAGGACATGAGTTCAATCCCTGCAATTGGATCATTTGGGCCAGTAGCACTTCATTTATGAGGTGGTGTCACAGGAAACCTGTGTTGCCCCTTCCTTGCCCTGTTGCTTTACCCCAGTGTCCTGTATGGCACAAGTATCCTCTCCACAGGACTGGATGTGGTTGCCAGTGATTAAGGGGTTTTTTCCACAGGGATAAGTACTTACAGTCCCATGGACGAACTTGGGTGATGAGTTGAACGTGGAACCTCAGCACAGACAGATGTTGATCCCTGTTGCTGGGAGTTAACCTGCAGTAGATGTGGGTTGTCCCAGGACTCCTCTCCCCGGTGTGTCTGACTGCACCTGCCCACCCCGTGTGCTGCCACTGGCCCATAAGGACATCACCCCTAAAATTTGCTCTCTGACTCACAATAAGCTGGTTAGCTGCCTGCTTCAGCCATTTGCTGCAGAGTGTTCCACGTGCTCTTCTAAAGCTCTTTCTCTTCCTTCTCCAGTTTTTCCTTCACGGCTGCGATCTGAACTCCCTCCACCAAAACATCCCTCCGGCGATCCTTCCCGAAGAGTATGGTGGCACCGCGGGCAAGCTGGACATCTCAGCGTGGAACGAGCTGCTGCTGGCCTCTGAGGAGGACCTCCTGCACGACTTCTCACAGCTGCTGGTGCCCTGTGACAGCTCCCCCCGGGACACGCTCGTGAGTGGAGATGCCGAGGAGAAGCAGTGCGACGATTCTCTGCGGGGCATGAAACCGCAGCTCTACTACTGCTACTGACACCCCAGGGCAGGGGGGCTGTCCAGCAGTTGGGGTCTGCTCTCGTGGGTGATGTTGTGAACTCTGCCTTACTCCTAAACCCGCAGTTTAGGGACAGACTGCTGAGGCACTTTACACTGTAGAACCAAAGGAAGCTGGAGGGGGCACACTGGGGGCAGGGCAGAGTTCGGGGAGGATAAAAGCAAAGAGCACAAGTTGTGTAGAAGACTTGAGGCTCATCGACCTCTGTGTGAACGATGCAAATGGCTCTTTCTTTCTAATGATAAAGGGAAAAAAAAATATTGCAGGAGCATAAGCTTGATATTTTCTTATCCCCTCCCCACCCAGGTGAAAAGTGGCAACGATGATTTACTAACTTTGTGATCATCTGTTCCCTTCCCCTTCTGCCAGTAATCCAAGAAAAGAAAGGGGCTCGTGAACCCTGCAAAATACAGTTCTGTAGTGAAGATTGCATAAACCTATAAAAGTCTTAACTTGGCCTGTCCTTCGTCACGTGGTTCAGATTGTGAGTTGGCATTTCTGAACTGTCTCAGTGAATATTTGGCTCAAATTAATACAGAACAAAACTTATTCACGAATACCCGTATGGAGAACACCTCTAAAACTTCCCCACAGTAGGAAGAACTGTGACTGATGGATTAACTACTGCAACATCTATCCCATGTTTGCACAACAGCTGCAATCTTCACTTTCAGAAAACAGGAAGTTTTTCAGATAATTACTTTTGACTAGACAACAGCTTCAAATGAGGTTCAGGACCAAATAATAATAAAAAAAAAGCTGTGTCAGGCACCTTCCCACATTGTCAATTCTTTTCTGGTTGTGACGAGGAATTGGGTAAGTACCTCCTACCCAGAATTCATGAGGCGGCTTTGTAGCAGTTGGCATGTGATGTATAGAAGGCAATACTTCATTGTAAGACAGCAAGGTGCTGCTTTAGCTTTGTTACTTTGGGCTGAATTTGAGTTTTAAGTCTGTGAAACCAAATGCAGGCGGGCTTTTTCAAAGCACATTCCTGAATTTCCTGATATTGTAGCATTTTGTTCACTGTGCTTGTTGGCTCTTCTGTGAAATGTTATTACGAGGTTTGTTTTTAAACTGTGTTAACCTCTTTTGTCTTTGGTTGTCATGTTCCTGTATGGAGTTAGACTTGAATCATCTCTCTGATATTTACTCATAGGTTGTATGCCTGTGCTTCTAGGTCTTTGTCTAGAGACAGAACTAAGACTCCAGTGTCAAACCAGGCTAAGATACTGATGTCCAGATAAGCTGTTCCCACTCCCCGAGCTCCTTTTATTTAATGGTCTTGAATTTAGAACTTAACTCTCAGCACACTCTTTGCACACGTTTTTCTGCACTATAATGGTGTGGAGATGGGAACCTCACTAGGACCAGGAGAGCACACCCTATCACTTCAAGGTGAAATATTTCACTATTTGGTGGAAAAGAATTCCCCTTCTAATTGGGGACTTACCCCTTAGAGCACTTTCTCTCGATGAAATCTTGATTTAGTGCCAAATGGGATTATAGGCACCAGTTACGTTTCTGTAAATATAAACCTAAAGCATCTTGAGGATCTCAGACATTCGTTTTTCAAAGTGCCAAACACTGTTTTGGATGTTTTTCTTCCTCTCGGTCCCCTTTACAGCATGACTGCATTGCCAAAAAGAGACAACTCCACCACTGACTTCCTGACCTGGCAGCAGATCTTATCCCTGAACAAGGGGCAGCAAATGCCATTCCCATCCTCCAGGCATTATAAAAAGAGTCTGCATCTTGAAAAGGGGTAAAACCGTGAAGCTTTTTTTTTTCCTGGGTGGCAGTTCAGAATTTGTGGAAGCAGAGGACTCATCACAGGAACACTTTTAGATTAAAGGTGGGAAGAGATTAATTTTCCTCGGTGGAAGCATCCGATTTTTCTTACCTTTATAAGTGAATTGTAACTCCCGTTTGATAGCTGTTACCTTTAGTGTGGAGATGATAAAAAAAACCAAACTGCCATTTTCATCTACTTGAAATAAGGTGAAAGTTTGTGACCAGAATGTGCTGTGTGTTTTGCAGAGGTTAAATCAGATTTTTACCACATAGCAAGACAGTACCACCACAGGACTTAGGGCAGGTCAGTGGCTGCCCACGCTGCTGAACTGCCAGAACAGAGAGGTTGGTGGTTTTTTGTTGTTCTAGTGCCTCTTAATTCCAGTCACAATGTACAAATAAAAATAAATAAATAGGATGGACCATTTCTCCTAGAGGTGAAGGCCTGACAGTCTTTTCTTAATCGTCCTGCAGGGCTGGAAGTGGTGGTGTTTGGACAGTTAACTGGAGGAACAGCTACTTTGATTCCCTTATGTAATTATTAGAGAGGGAGTTGGAATACTCAAATTACAGTGTCCTTCAAAAAGAAAGAAATCTCGTGCTGTTCAGCAGAAGGCTGAGGAAGCTCTACAAAACCCACCCCCTTTTCCAGGCTTCTGTATTCTGCAAGCCTTAAACAGCAGGCAGCCTAGATCCACCTCACCCTCTTCTTTCCTCTGCTCACGGAGAAACTAAGAATAAAGAACATGATTTAACCACAATAGATAACCAGGTTTTTTGCTTGGGGTTGGTTGGGTTTTTTTCTTACAGCACCACAACCAACCTGTTCTTTTTCCCACCTGAAATAACTTTGTTTCCAGAGGTCAGGCGCTCTGCCCAGTACGTGAGCCATCCCTGCCAAATCCAACACGTCAGAAGGGAAGATACTTGAACTCCATTGGCATTGGGTGGGACAAAAGGTAGCTGCAAACTGTACATTAAAGTACTTGAATTTATACTCTTGCAAACGGGTGTTATGAGCCCTGAGGTGTTTTCAGGAACTGGCTTAAGTATTGTTTCTGTTAAATCTCATTTTGGCATGAGTTAAATCATAGTGTTCCTCGAACCAGTAATTTTGCCTTCTGTTGTACGTGGGCCTAGAGGTGTTGGGTGGTTAAGTGTACATCTTATTTTGACAAAATTTATTTTTATATTGCATTTTATAAAATGAAGTCGTCAAAAATGTGTAATTTTATGATGCATGACTGGGTAATTAAACACATTGTAACAGCTGCTAATTCGGTATTTTCAATATGTTTGCCCCGTGTCACGTTGGGATATTTTACTGTAAAAAACCAGCAACACACAAGTTTCACACTAAACACACAATTGCAACTGAGAACTCAGTTAGCAAAAGGTGTTGCTTTCTGCTGCAGAACTTAAGTTTCCTTGTACAACTGAACCTGAGCAATTTAAGAGATGGAATTTGACATTCAGAGAATCACAAGGAGGGTGCTGTTTGTTCCAAAAGAAATATGTTGTGACTGGAGAAAACAGTCAGTCACATCCCACTGGACACTGCAGCAGCTGATCGCTGTGTGTGGTATTTTCCCTCAGAGAATTAACTGCTGTAATTAACAATTAACAACTGGGCCAGTTTCAGTAGTTAGTCTGCTTTATTCAAATGAGTTTACAGTGCAAATGCCTTAGTGCGCATAATAATAATAATAATAATAATTTCATGTACAATATTTTTATAAGCCTATCAGACAAGTGAAATTAACTCATCAACAAGCTCTGTTTTTCCAACATAATCATAAAGTTGATTAAGCTACTGATACACTTACCACTCTGATAAACATACTAAAAAAGAAGTTACCATAGAAGTTGCCCCTTAGAAAGGGCAAGTCTGTTCTTAAAAAGAATTAATCAGTTTTTCAACCTCAGAGTTCTGTTCTTTCGGTGAGGAACAAAGGGCACCTTTTTTTTTCTCTTTTTGCCACAACAAAAAGTAATTTAAATAAAGTTTTCCTTTAAATAAACTTTTGCAGCGGAATGTAGAAATCAAGCAGCATGGCTTACACTTCCAGAAACTGAAGCATTAGCATACTAGTGCATTATGCTGAATATAAGTGTTCTTTAAAATATATTACTTCATATTTAGCTAAATGTTACTTCTATTCAACAGAAGGTTGTGGCTATTGGACAGAACAGATAAGTTTCGTTTGTGCTTTGACAGCACAGCTGTAGTGATTTTTAAAAATGCAGTAATAAGATAACCCTGATGAAGGTTAAAATAGATAACTGATGATAATTTTGATGCTGCATCAAGCTTTATGCAAGACGTAACTTTCCGTCCAACTGCACGTTAATATCAACGTAAGAAACAGTAACTAAAGCAATAAATGAACATTTTGGCTTTCAGCAGAAGAGTTCCTCACTTTTGTAAGCTCAGACAGCCGCAGCAAGTTAACTGAAGTCTCTATTAGTAAGGACAAGAGGAGCCACTAAGGTCCAGAGATAGAGAGCCAGACAAACCCAGCTGGAGCTTATCTTCACCCACACGGCCGGCCACTTGCTTGTCATTGTCTTGAAATCTGCATCAGGGCTAGAAAAGTGAAGATGCCAATTAGCAGATACAGAAAGCACTTTCCACTGTTCCTTGCTAGCTCTCTCCGAGTCTGAAGTTAGGGCAGTCATTTGGGACTTTCAAATGCAAAAAGCCTTTGTGAGAACACAGTGAGACAACTCAACCAGGGTGAAGAGCCAGTAACATCAGGCTGGCCTCCGACAAACTTCCCAGGAGGCCACCTGCAACCAGTTTCATATGTATCCTTCCTGCTGCTTGCTCATCTGAGGGATGGCAGCCCCACTTTGTGCCCTTGCAGTCCCCCAGGACCCACATACAGTCACTTTCCACCTCGCTCCTACCTGTACCAGTTGGTGAGCGTCATCATGATGTAAAGAGAGGCGAGGAAGAGCATGAAGTGGAAGAAGGTGTAGCTGTACTGAACGCCGTCCTTCTCGTTGTCTGTCACCCGGCGCACTTCCCCCTCCTCCGCGGCCCCGCTGCCGCTCCCCAGGGTCTCCTCCAGGATGGCAGTGTCGCTGCCAGACAGCGTCAGCTTGTTCACCTGGCTGTTACTGGAGGAGCGGATGCTGCAGGGGGACAAGGGAGCCGTGGTGAGGAGCCCTCTGACAGTGGGCTGTTGGTTGATACACCAGCAGAGCCACTCGCAAGCGGTGGGTTTTTTTTAAACCCATCTGGAAACATCAGGGAACTCCTCGAACTGTTCTCATCCAAGCTCCTGTTAACCCAAGTAAGCAGCACTCCTAGTCCAGATCACAGAATGGCCTGGGCTGGGAGGGACCTTAAAGATCTAGTTCTGACCCCCCTGCAGTGGGCAGGGACACCTTTCACTAGATCAGAGCTCCAACCACCCTGGCCTTGAAAGTTCCAGGGATGGGGCATCCATAACTTCCCTGGACAACCTGTTCCAGGGCCTCACCACCCTCAGAGTGAAAAATTTCTTCCTAATATATAATCTAAACCTTCTCTCAGTTTATGCCATTCCCCCTTGTCCTTGCAAACAGTCTCTCTCCATCTTTCTTGTAGCTCCCCTCGGGTACTGGAAGGCTGCAATTAGGCCACCCCTAAGATGCTTCTTTTCCAGGCTGAACACTCCCAGTTCTCCCAGCCTTTCCAGATGTTCCATCCCTCTAATCATCTTGTAACACCAGTTCTCTTGTCTGGATTGGGGTTGATAAAGCCTGTCCTCATCCACAGAGCTGAACACAGGTTGATGGGCCCAAGGCAGCAGCTGGGTGTGAATAAATGCAGGTACATTTTGCTCTAGACCCAGGCTCTAACAAAAGAGGCAGACAAATCCAACTGTTTATCACTGGATAGCAGTGCAGATCCTACCTGGAATACAAGAGGCAAAGGACAAAGATCACCAATCCAACAACACTCTGGGCATCCCACCACTGCAGGGACTTGGGCGGAGCGGGAGTGGCAGGGGGGACAGTGGCATTGGCTGGAACAGCTGTGGGTGCAGCTATCTGGGTGATGATGTTCAGCAAACTTGGGTTGCAGTTTCTTTCTGAAAGGAATTTCAAGGCAGATGAGAGAAATGAGCTTCCTACAAGCTGGGCAAGGTCGAAATAAATAAATAAATAAAACCAGAGTGCCCTAACACTGGCTTATTTTCCTCACAAATACCCCGGTTTAGTTCTGCAAAAAGGCAGTCTGCTTACCAGGCTCGTTGGACATGGCTGCCCAGGTGAGGTACATGGTGTAGAGGGTGATGACAGACGACTGCAGGAGCCCAGAGCGAGGCTGATGTTCCTGTTCCGAGACAGGAGAGCAGGCCAAGGTCAAAAGGGCAAGTTTTTAGCTGGGGTCGGATAGTTTTACCCTGCTGCCACAGAATCAGCAGTTCCTGGCATGAAAAGCTTTGTTTTAGGAATGCACTGGGGCTTTGCTCTATGCTCAAAAGGCTGGGAGAAACTCCTTAGGCATGTTAACTTCTGCAGCAAGCAACTCAAGCATGGAAGGAATAAGCAAACCAAATAGTTTTTCTGTAGCCAAGACTCTGTTTTGGATTCTTCCTGAGGTAATCCCAGCTTTTTAACCGATTTTGTAGGTGTCAGTCTAGCATGTGACTTGAGCAAGACCAGATCAGAATCACGTAACGTGCAAGTGTCCTCTTGTATTAAACAAGCTTACCCATAATTTCAAAGCCACAGTACTAAGACAAGAAATCTCCAGCTTATTTTGCTGCTTCCTACCAGAACCCTCACCCCCCTACAACCATGTCAGCAGTCCTCCACCTGGAAACAAAGTCCAAAACTATGTTAGCTAAAAACAAAAAAAATATGTCACTACATAGTGCATTGGTTACAGAGCAAGGTATTTTTTTTTAAAGTTCCTAGGTAGCATAGCTATGATAGACACATTTTAGAGTTCTTATGCCTGACTGAATTGGTTCTACATTCTCCCCACTTCTGCGCTTTGTTATGCCAGAAGAAAATACCAGAGAAAAACAATACCTGAACTTTTGGAAGGATAGAAACAATGGAGACAGCAACACACAGGATCATGTTAACGCTTATGAAGAACTTGTTCACAGTGCAGTCATCAGGCTTTGTGTAGAAAACGTAGAAGAGAACGACAAAAACCAGG